CTCATCTGTGTTTGATTGTTGTCGAGTAGAAGGTGAAACTACCTGTTGAGAGGGAAGAACTGAGTCAGTGATTGGTATATTAGTGGTAGCAGCTTCTAATTGTGAACGGGGCTGCTGTTGTTGAGTATATTGTTGCTTTTGATGGTTATTATTTCTGAGTGATGGAGCTACATAAGGAGCAGAAGAAAATTAACATTTGAAGTTGTTCCTATCGAATCATTTGAGTAATTATTCATCCTTTCGTCTTGGTTTACTAATGCTTGAAGATCTTCAGCTTTTCTTGCTATTTGCAAAAATTGATCGGTTGTTTGAGGATCTTTTGAAATAACTTTCATTTTGAGAGATGCTAATAAATTTGCCATAAGATATTGTACTTTTGTTCTTTCATCCATATCAGGGTTTGCATCTTGACATAACTGTAATACTTGTGTGTGATACTGTAACACACATTGATTAATTGCTTGAGAATATTGTTGCAAACATTGAAATGATTGTGTTACATAATATGTAGATGAATGTACTGTAGTAAATTCTTTTTTAAATGCCGACCATGACGAAATATGTGATGAATTTTGGATGTACCATTGCCGTGCTTCATCTTTAAGAAAACGTGCAATATATTTTAATTTCATATCATTAGGCCAGTTGACTGTGCTAAATTGCTGCTCTAGATCTTCCAACCATCGAACTACATTTTCTTTACCACCAGAATATTGCTTTTGTTTTTTGAGAAAATCTTCAAGAAGGGCTGGTAATAATATACCTTCAAATTGTGCAGAAGCTGTACATGTAATGTTTGATTGAAGGGTAGAGAAACAAGACGGGTGAGAAGTAAGAATAGGAGTACTGGCAGCTGGTACTTTTATGAAATGTGCACGAAAGAGTTTCACGAATGCAGCAAAACTTGAAAATTCGTCTTCGTTCTCAAAATACCAAGATAATGCTTGATCTTCCATGATATGCTTTACATAATACAATCTAATGTCTTGATCGATATCTAGATCTTTGAATTGTTTGAGAATATTCGTTAACCACGACTCAGCGCCAGTTCCCCCATAAAACTTGGGAAACGCGCCAATAAATTGCAAAAACTGATTTGTTTTTTGTTGATCCGCATGTTTCTGTATGGTTCCTTGCGATTTAATATCATTTGTGAAAGAAGATTCTTTCTGCGTTTCAACTGATTTATTATGATCTGTAGTTGTCGTTAATTGAAAATTTACAGCACTCGTTGATAAAGCAGAAGCTTGATTTATGTACAAACCAAGTTGTGTTTTAAATTTTGTCCAATCATTTGAAAAAGAGAAAATAGATTTATTGTACCAGTCTTGTAATTCAGAATCCAAGTAATCGTATGATAAAGATGGCCATAATCGTTCTTTATAGCTCAAATCGGTAAAAACTTGTTCAATAGAAGAAAGCCATACTAGAATTGTATCGGTTCTGGTATGATCAAGTATTTGGATTGTGTCCAGTTGGTCTTTTTCAAACGTTTTGAATTGTTCCACGTTATCCATGTTTAATGAAGAGGTACTAC